CAACTCTGGTTTTCAGTTGAAATTGGAATTGTTAATTTACACAATAATAGGAGTGCATAGACGATTTTTTCTTAACTCGCAAAAATCTTCAAACAATTTGCTACCGATTGGTGATAAAATTTTTTCGGAAATAATGAAATAGGGGGGATAACGCCTTTTTTTTCAGGAGTGAATTTTCAAAAATTTATTTAAAAAAAAGTACTAACTAGAAAATGTTTTTTATTAGCTCGCAATTTTCTTCAAAACTACTTCAATGAGGAAAAAAATAAAAATTTGGAATATCTATACATGAGGGGCTAATTGATCGGATCTCAATGTACAATGTATTTGCGCTCCAAAAGGCCCAAACGATTGTAACTGGTATCGACGTCCCAGAAAGAGGTAGGCAGGCGCACATGTGTTTTCAATTTTGAGGGACTGACGATGAGCGGATCCATAAACCCCATAATGAGTTATGATCGTTTTAACAGCATTTTTTTTGACGAAATTTCTCGATTTTTTTTTTAATCAACGGAGATTGTTTATTAGAAAAATATTGACCGAATGTGTTTTACATTGAATTCAGAATGCATCGTTTTTTTTCAGGTCGATTCGGCAATTCTAAAATGAGATAGCCGCAGTCGACATTTCTATTAGTTGAATAAATAATTATTACAATATTGAGTTTTTTCTTCTCTCCTTGGCTTTTCAAGGGTCGAGGGGTTTTTCGGCTTCTCACAGCGATTATAAATAAATTAATGAAATTAAAAACTTGGAACTTTGTATTGGGTGAGTGAAATACTTATATTACACAGTACAATTGGTTCCATATTTTTACGATTTTTTTTCGTCGAGTTATAGACGTTTATTTCGAGTGGTCTCTACTTTTGACACCGACAGTAGTGGAAATTTATTCTGATGGAAAAATTTGATTTTTTTTTGGAATTTAATAGTAATTTTTAGAAGAATTACATTGAATTTGATTTTTGGTGAAAAGGTAAAATTCCATGTTTTAGCTAGATTTGAAGTGAATTGGAAGTGAATTCATATTGGAATCCTTCCTAAGAAAAAGCATGGGCCATATAGGATAGGAAAATGTGAATGCAATATACTAAAACTGATGATGATTTTTTTTTACTTTGAAAATTTATTTTTTTTGCGAGTTCACAGGGATTGAAAATTATATATTTTTCGAGAGGGAAATGATGTGAGTCGATTGTAATACCGTACACAGCGATATGGATTAATTCACCAGGAAATTCAACTCATTGGTCAAATATTTTTGTCACTGAATTGTGAAGGCTTTGTTCGGTTAATCATTACAGTTTTTTACAGAGAGTATATTCACAGTCGACACGACTCTGAAAATATTTGCACGGGTTTCCATTGGCTTTCAATCACGGCCACATGTTTGATGTACCTTGAATATTTTTGCGTTACTGTTGTATGAGTGTTATGAATGCTCTGCTTCCACCGACACGTTACACAACGTTTCAGTCAACTCGCTCATTTTCGAATGTTTTCCATTCAATCATATCCATCATTTCATATTTTTTCACTTCCGTTTCAATCGGATGGTTGGGATTACATCGATGGTATATTCTTATATTGATTAATCGGGCATGCTGTGACTTAGCATTATCAAAAACTGTTGCCATTCGTTAACTATTAACGAATATTCATTTGGTCATATTCAACTCTACCATTCGTTAATAGTTAACGAATCTCGTTTGGAATAAATGGATCATTCTATCAGTGTGTGAATAGCCCTTCGCGCGGATGTCTGTTTTCGTTTTGCGGGGTCATTCGGTAAAGAATGCTTATGCAGCCACGCCATCTATCGGCGATGCTAACTATCGATACATTACCAACCCTCGATCGATCGGTAAGTTACCGATAGGTTGTTAATCATAGAAATTTTCAGTGCAGAAATTTCTAGATTCAAAATTCCCTATAAAAGGCGGATCGGCACGCTCCGCCGTCAGTGGTAAATTGGCAATCAGAGAGTTAACATCGTATAAAGTAAAGGGTGTAAATATCTGGTGCAGTGGTAAGGTCAGTCTAGATATTGATGTGGATACGTCTATGGTTTAAATATGGGGGGCCATTTTGGGAAACGGTCTTTATGTGCAGCGCCAGCTATCGGAATTCTAGAAAATCCTAGACATTTCGAGGTAATTTGAGAAGTTTCTTGAAATTTCGAAAAAATTCAAGATGTTTCTAGAAATTTTGAATAAATTCAGGGAGTTTCTAAAAAATTCGAGAGAATTCAAGGAGTTTCCAGGAAATTCGAGGGAATGCAAGGAGTTTCTAGGAAATTCGAGAAAAAAGGAAAGACCATGGAATCTACGTACAATTACCTACAATTTTTCGCTTACAATTTTTTTTTCAATTTTTTCTTCTATACCCTTTCGGGTTTTTACGATTTGTTCCCTTTTCATCCCGCAAACCCTTACACCGCATTCGCCGAAGGACAACAAAAACCTCTCTTGAGAGAAAACCGTGAGATTTAGAGTGCCACAAATTTTGGCCCCACCAGCTAGTGTTGCCGTGAGAGACTTCACGAGACACTACTTTGGAGAAATGGTCTCGGTCTCAATGATCATGGAAATTTATGGTCTCGTCTTATTGTCAGTCTCGAAATAGGCAGTATCGACTCCTCCCGTTTTCTAGTATTGGGGTTGCGCTTGTTGCAAAGGTCAAGAATATGGTCCAGCTTATTTATTGCAAAATTAAATGTTAATTAGTCCAATCTGTCGAGGATTCACAGTAAAAAATCCGGAGTTATACCAAACGCACTGTGCATTTTCTTCTTGCAAATGGGTCGAATGTGTTCCACTCCACAGAAATTGCCTATTGCAATTGGGAATGCGGTAACAAGCTGGGAAAATGAAATGAAATACACTGATTCAACTTCATTCTGTAGATGCTCTTTGATAAAAAGTCAAAGGAAGGCTGATGAACAAAGGCCTTGCTTCTTTGGTTTCTCCGTATTATGGCTCGTTTTCCATGACACTGGTGACGCCATTGCAGAGAAACAATATGAGACACATTGCATAGAAACAATATGATATACACTGAATTCTTGGAAATATGTGTCAGTCTACAATATGATTTAAGGGGTAACAGAATGCCGCAAATTTTCCAAATTTTTAAACAAATTTCCTGCTGAAAGCTATCGATATTTTTTACGAATCAAAGCACATTAATCTCCAGGAAGCGATGATAAAGATCAAAGTGCTTTGGGTTAAAAAAATATTGATAACTTTGAGCAGGAAATTTGTTTGAAAATTTCAAGGAAACGGTGGCCTGCCTTCTGTTACTCCTTAACAGCTGCACTTAGCTTACTTCAATATTGGGAAAAGCCCTTCAAGTCGATTTTTCGACTTGATTCAGGTCGACTTCGACTTGACTCAAGTAGATTTTTCGACTCGATTCAAGTCGATTTGCCAGCTTGATTCAAGTAGATTTTTCAGCTTAAAATGCGTTAAAAAAATTAGTGGAAACTATACATGTCAGTTCAATTAGTCCATAAAAATTTATTAAAATCAAGAAAATTCAGGTGAATATAGTTTAAAATTCAGAATAAATTGAAAATTTTGTGCAATTTGGTACTGGATACTCATTTTGTTTGATAATTCAAGTTAAATGAGGAATTCTCGTATTTTGAAATTTGAAATTTCGT